TTTTTTTTTTAACAGATCACACACTCAAAATTGAATTCAGTATTATTTTCTTTCTCTGCAATGTTGAAAGCTGGAAATTCCACGGAAACTGTAAAATTAATTCAGTAATTCGGGACTTTTCAAAATGTCCAAATTTGGGGCATTTAAAAGTGCTAAAATTACTCAGCGATCAAAAAAGATAAACTCATGCAGCAACATGGATGTAACTTAAAAGGGTGATGCTAAGTGGAATAAGTCAAAAGTTGAAAGATAAAAATACTGAAAGGTGTTACTTATATGTACAATATAAAAAACTAAATTAATAGTGAAAGACAAGCTGAAAACTCACCTTTGATAGGTGACTACAAAACTGAAATACCAAGAGGGTGTGAAGGGAGAGAGGAAAGAGCAAAGAGGGAAGTAGCACAATGGTGTATGGTGGTAGAATACAGGTGAGTTCATGGTGGGTGCAGTGTGGAGGTAATACCTGATGAGGAAACCCCAATATTACCTCAGTTAAAAATAAATAATTATTTTTTTAAAAATAAGGAAAGGAAAAAGACTGGTCTTGAGCTGACAATGTTAAGTTGGTATAGGGAAAGGTTTGCTAGTTTAGTGACTTTTGTATGATTGAAAATGAGCATAATAAAAAGGAAAAAGAAAAGTTGTAGAAAGTTTAACAAGCTGTTTTAAGTTCATGTTGTTTCTTTGTCAAAACCTAGATAATAAAATACTAAAGGTGACTTAGTGGTTCTACAGTCAAATTAATTTGTGAGTGTTTTCTTTCCTTCAATTCCCACAGTAACCTCCCCAAAACTCTCCTCCTGCAAAATATTTTTTTTCTTTCAGTAAACAGTTAAAAATAATTTATGACTAGAGTAATCAGAATCTCAGAGTGTAATGTTTGCTGAATACAAGAACAGTTTTAATTTTCCATGAGAAACCAGTAGGCGGTGCTAACACAGGGAGGAGACTGTATTGAAACATTTTAAACCACAAAGATGCAAAATAGGTGACCAGTTTTAGGAGTTGGAGGATTCCCAAAGTGACTCATGAAGAAGGAAATTTGCAAAATTTGAGTAAAGATAAAAACATATAAGTATATAACATAATGAACAATAAATATTAAATTAAAACCTTAAGATGACCAAAGGATGGTAGCATAATCTTTATTTACAGGATTCAACTACCGATTGTTTCCCATATTAAATGTCTTTTTCCTCCCTTTCATTATGCTTATAATCTCATCTGGAAAACACCATGAAGTAAAGCTTGTGTCTTCTCCTAACCTGAACACACACACAACCTCTACTTTAGGTAGCAACTGTCCTCTTAATGAAAATTCATTGATTTCTCAAGTTTATACCCTCTCACTGTCTTTCTCTTTTGAAAGAACTTCAGTGCTTACAATTGTCAAGGAACTATTATATGCAAGTATCATATTGCATTTCTAAGTAAACATAAGCATTTCTACTTATGTACATTATTATGACAAAAAGCACAGGATGTTGCAAGTGGCTTTCTAAGCTTATGTTAACTAGTTAAATCATATGAAAGACTACAATTTAGTAATGTACTCCCAAGAGTCAAAATGTAAGGTTTAGTAACTAATACATTTTGTCAAATCCTAAAATTATACTCTTCAATATATTGTTTCTGATAGTCTATACATAGGAGATAAACCATCCTTAAACAAATGTAACAGAACTTTCTTAACAGAGCATCACTACCCTGACTACAAAAATAATTCACTTCAACTGCCAAAGATCCTGACATAAGAGTGTGCAGAGTAAAAATTACTGTTTTCTAGATTTTGCTACAAATTTTAACCTACAGATAAGCTATCCTTTGCACTGTTAAATCATTCACCACAAAGAACAAAGAAATATAAGGACAAAACTTTTGTTCCACAAGCTGAGGTTACAGACTTAAGGGAAATATTTCCTTGAAAAAAGCCATTTGTTAGGGGCCTTTCTCTGTGCTGGAAATCGTTTGTATGTGTACAGATAACCTAGGAAAAACAACCTAAGAAGTAAAAAGTTATTTAACTTGCTTTCTAATTATTTAACAAAAGTCCAAGTATACGTACATGATGAATTTAAGACTAAACTTTTTAGTTAAGAAAGCTTCAAGATCAAATAATTTAAATAATATTTATCCTGCAGATCTTAGGATTTAAAGTAGTGCTCGAAATGTATTTGGACAGCAACTTTCCAGCAGATGCTGCCACTGTATTATGCACAGAAAAGGCTCATTATCACCACCTAGAACCTCTCCAAAAAGTAGTGTTAGATTACACTGGAAACAACAGAACAATGATATAAGCCAATTCATAAAATAAATTCAGTTCTGAGTACTATAATGCTACCAACACAACAAAATCAGTCATCACCATTAACAGCCCCTAGCCTGGCTTGTGCAGGGTTCTCAAGACTACGGTTGGTACCACTATCAGGTGGTTTAAAAAGAGGGAAAATGCTGTCCCTTTAAAACTCAAAGAAACGGCTGTTTTGTACCTTAGGAGTGTAGTCTCATTAAGGCAAACACTTTCTTCCTCGACAATAAAACCCATCTGACCATCACAAAAAGTAACTATTTCCCTGGAAGACGCCAACAAGCACTTAAAACCAAGGCAACGCGACAAGGAAGGGAAAGATCCAAAGGCAACACCTCTAATGAAACAAAACCCATATGAACGAGCAAGACGGGCTGGGAAAGACCTACTGCACGGTTTACTCCTAGCAAAGAGGAGGAGCAGGAATTGGGGGGAGGGAGGCGGGAGCTGGTGTCATCGTGGAGATCTGCAAATGTCTCGAGCTCCGGCCCGCTGGCGAGGAGCCAGCCCCTCCAGAAGACGCAGACCCTGCCTCTTCTTCCCCCTACTCCCGGTCGCTGCGAGGGGCCGCTCCGGCCAGCCCCCGCCACATTCTTGGCCCTCGCCCCACCTGCTCTGTTCTGCAAGTGGCCCTCGGAGAACTTACAGGGCCCGCCAGCAGCAGCGTCCCCGGCCGGCGCCGCCTGCGGCGCAGACGCCGCCCGCCGCGGATCCAACCTGGGCGCAGCCGAGTGAGGGACTGTATTTTGCGCACATCCAAACACCGATCCTGAGCCAGGAACGGACTTTGGTTTTCCCTGGCTCACGGCGCCGCTTTCCCCACCGCGGGCTCGGACACTGCCCAGAGACGCGCGCGCGCACACTCACACACACACACACACACACACACGCACACACGCACGCACGCACACACACGCACACACAGATTTCTTGGCCAGGACCAATGTTGCCATTGCAAACCCGGGAAACGCCTCCAAGGGGACCAAGTACCTGCTCTCTGCGAGCTGCTCAGCTGTTCACTTCATCCTCCGTTGACAAGGAAACCAAACCGCACTTCATTTTTTTTTTCCAGAAAAACCTTCCACTGCCATCATTTGAAAATTGATTTACGGGGAGGAAAGGGGGAGGAAGAAGGGATAATATATAGATATCAGGATATCTATCATAAAATTATCTCGGTTTTTTTTTAAAAAGTCAAATGTGCAAAAGTCATAGTTAATTTAAGGGAGAAAAAAAAGTATTTTGTTTAAAAATAATCCCGGTAACCAGCTGTAAGAAAAGTTTCATGTTATCAATGGGTATCAAAAACAGGAGGGAAAAAAACGAATTTGTTCTCACCGACTTCCAAAAAGGGAACAAAAAAATAGAAAATTCATGTCTTTGCTCAGTGGTTTGTATCAGTATTGCAAAACCACAAACTTGTAAACACTGCTGTAAAATCCCACCTATACAAAAATCTTATTATAAAAAGAGTATGCCAAAAAAGAGTTAGAAACATGCTTTTTATCTTTACAGAGGAAAAAAGAGGCACCATACTTCACATCGCTTTTTCCATAAAACCAGTTGCATATTTTGCTGGACTTGGGAGTCGCTCCCAACGGGCACGGTCGCCCCGGACTCCCAGACACAGCGCCTTGTCTACAGAACCATAGCATGCTAGAAAAACTTGGATTCAGGAAAAGGCTCAAAACCATGCTCCTCCAGCTTTCCCAAATATAAACAATAATCAAAGAAGTGGAGAAAAAAAAAAGAAGAAAAACAAAAACAAAAAAAAAAGGACAAAAAAAAAAAGAATAGGACAAGAATGCCACTGAGAAGGTACTCACCGAGCGGGAGTAAAATGTTGGAATAAAAATGAGATTTAGTATAAAATACAGTATGGCGGTGGAAGAAGGAATGAAGCGCGTTTTTTTCTCTCAGTCTCTGCCTCAGGCACTGACACGTGACTCGGAGCCAGGCTGACTTGCAGGCAGCCGGGAAGGACCG